TATATATATATATATATATATATATATATATATATATATGTATATTTATTTATTTATTTATTTATTTATTGCATAGATTGGAATTTCTTGAGAAGTGGAGTACTTGAATTTGAGCATATGTGTATTCCATGAGGCTCTCTTTGTGCTTGTCAATGGTTGCCAAACAAAGGGTTTAATTGACAATGTCTTTTCACTCATAGAAGTTTATTTTCTCAATTAATGAAGAGATCAATATTACTTTATCATAATTGTGAATGATAGGTAATAATGGAGAAAAAAATGGGCTCTAGATGGTATCTCGAGGGATTTGAACTTTTTTCCAGGTTAATTGTTTTTGTTTTTTTAAAAACACCTTATTTAGTATTAACTTGGAGCACACTTTCTAAGTGCCATATGCTAATTTCTTGGATTATGGAATTGACAACCTCTCTTTTAAGTTTCTTGGATTGTTGGTAGGTTTTAATACAAGGGAAATGTCAATTATAGAGTCAATGAAGCTGATTGGTCAACTTTCTCTAGTTCAATATGATGGAGAGATTTATGCTAATCATGTGGCAATGTTATGGTTTTCTCAAGCTGTTTCAAGAAAGGTCAGAAATGGGGAAAGTGTTTGATTTTGGCATGATGATTGGAATCAAAATGATAGATTGAAAAATTCCTTTGCTCAATCGTTTCTTCTAAGTCTCACTTAATATAAGAATGCTTGTGCGGCTGAAATGTGTGAATGATCGAATAATAATTGGTATTGATTATAAGGATGGATGAGGATTCTTTTATGTGGGAAGAGTGGTCGTTGGAATGATCTAGTGAATGTCTTAGGTTATTTAATTCTGTGTAGGAACAAGTTGTGTAATAATTATTATTATTATTTTTTTTTTTTTGCATGTTGTGATATGGTTTACTTGGATTATGTGAAGAAAAAAAATATTGTGTTTCAGGGTGCTTCTTTTCAACGATGTTTTGAACTCAACATAGGTCAAAATGGATATGGTTTAAGATCTAGGCAAGAAAAGTTTAATGTTCTTTTTCTTATTTTTGTATTGATCCTGTAATATGTCTAAATTTATCCTCTTGATACGACTTTAAAAACTGCTATAGGCATGTTAGAATACCTCTAGTACTCTATCGATCTCTCAATAAAAAGAAAATTGTATAAAAAATAAGTGGTTCATTGAGTACCTCTAGTACATTGAAAGATAAGTGGGGGCCTTAGTGAATCTTCTCTTTCCCCAAACAAGGTAGTGATAATTAAGTGCACAAAAGCTGAATACTTTTTCTTACATTTAATTAGATAATATTATTTACTTTTAAACTCTAAAAAATTGTCTAGTTTTAATTTTTTTTATTTATAAAATTGTGTCATGTGTTTCTTATATAACAAAATTAAATTGATATAATTTTTTTACAAAGAACAATAACCACACCAAACACATTTTTATAAACAAAATACTCCCCACTAAATTAATATATATATATATATATATATATATATTAAAATCCTATATATAATAGACTAAAATATAAACAATTTTAACTAATTAAACTGCATTCAATTTAATAATATCATCTCCAAATACCCTTCATTTCAATTGATAGATATTCCATTTCTAATAATCCCTTTTTATTTTTGATAATAAATATCAATGAAGGGCTGTTTGCAATAAGAACTTATTGTTTTTAAATAAAATTAGACAATATTAACTATATTTTTTAATTAGTGTAATTCATATTTTTCATCATTTTTCAGTATGGAAAGAGCATTTCAAAAGAGAGAACTTCTTTAAGAAGCTAAAGTAAATATTTTTATATTGAATAATGCTACATACACAACAAAAATTGTACGTTAATAAATATGTCTTTCTATAATAACTAAAATAATAAAGAAAAATAAATACAAAATAATGTTGCACAATTGTATTGTACATGTAGGATTACTCATTTATATATTTAAGATAACTATAAAAAAAAAAAAAAAACCTATTTTTTCTTAGCTAGCTTCCGTTTGTGTCTGTGGTTCCTAGTTGCTAGCTCAGGAAAGGGATCAGACAGACATGTTTTTGTAAACGAACCCCAAGACAGCACCTGAAATAACTAACTAAAGTGATAAACTTTTAAGCAAGATGTAACATATAGCTGCTACAACTATTTCAAGCTAGTTCAGTAGGTGTCACTACAGTTACAGCTATAATAATACTATAATGAACATGCTACTGCAGACCTCGGAACCTCGATTACCACTAACACATCAACTTTCAACTCACTCTAGCTTTTACAATAATAAATGAACAAGACTCATTCAAATCCATCAGTGGCATCTGTGACATTTTTGTTTAATTCTACTGCATCATGTTATAGAATAATTGAAACCCTAAATAAAGAGTCTTGTGAAAAAAGTTAGAAGGCCGAAATAGGAGAGAAGGCCCAAAAGCAAAGAAAAGGGACCAATAAAAAAGAGAGAGGAACATGTGACATCTAAATCTAAAGAAAAGGAACAAACGTTCGATAAATGGAAGAAAGGGATTTTCTTGGATAAATATGTCACTAAAACAAGATTTTAATAGTGTTAGAGATGTCAAACTCTTGTTATGAAGAACAATAGTTTAGACTTGATCTTGGACCATTTATGCCAACTCATGATGCCAGATTTACGTTCTTTGAAGCTTAAACTTTAACTACAAGGGTAATTTTGAGGATTAAAGAGAAGTCACAATTAAGTTAAGCCAATTGAATAAATTATACATTAATAAAAAGACTATAGTTTCAAAGTGTGAAAATTACGAGTCAACCGGCGTAAGTGGATTGGCCCAGCATAGTTCAACATATTTTTGAATTGGGTGAGGCCGAGAGACTAAAATTTGCATGTTCAGCCCAACATTGCGTGTGGCGAGATACGCTAACCCATGAATTACTCATTTTTTATGTATAAAAATTTAAAAAATTAAGAACTATCCATGTAAATTAATTTTTATATAAAAGCTAAATAATATTTTTATAATCAATGGTATCAAATAGAAAAATATAAAATAGAAAACTAACAATTTCCGTTTGTAATATAAAATAGAAAAATATAATAATAATAATAATAAATCAATTGTATCAATTATAATAATGGAAAGATGGATTTGTGAACTTGTTCGAAAAAAGAGATCCCTTATGCGTAGAATTTCTTGCTCTAGATACTCGCAATATGATTGTTCACAGCAAAAATATGTAGATATTATTGTTAATAATTACTAATAATAGAAAGTTCTTGAGAGATGTATTACGAAAATTTTCTTAAAGAAAGTAATGCTGTTGCTGATGGATTAGTCGAATAAGGAACTACATTTAGTTTGACATGGAAGAATTTTCTAAATTTTATTTTACATGAAGAGGATTTAGATTTTAAGTAGTTTTCTTTGTTTATTTTTATTCATGAATATAAAAAAGTAAAATTGTAACAATAATTGTTGTCGTAAACTAATAATGATAATTAAGTGTTAGAAATCAAAACTATACTCAGTCTATATAGAATATTAACTTTGAAATGGATATTAAAGATGCCTATACTAAAACTTCATTTTCTTTTGATTGGGAAAAAGATGATTGTGATACAGACAACATCTTGGCCTACATATGACACATTGTCAAGAGAATTCTGGAAATAAATCTTACTTTTGAACGATGGCATTTGGCACTCATAGCTAGGTTTAGCTTCCTTTTTTAGTATTTATAGCAAAGAGATTGCTAGCAACACTTTTTAACTCACATCTGCTTATTTCTTTTATTATTATTAGTTAAAATTTATTAAAAAAATATAAAATTGTAAATATAGTTCATTAAATAAAATAAAATTTATATAATTTTATGATTTTTAATTAATAATAAATAGTATATTAAAGAATGTACTGATAATCCTTGGAGGTCAAAATTCAAATATAAGTTTATAAATTTGGAACACACCCTTTACACAAAGCATTAGTTTTATTACAGTGCGAAAAATAATGATGAGATAACCAATATCAAATTCCTATGTACGTTTGGATTAGTTTAAGTCCTGTTTCGGATTGTCATAAGTTTTCAGTTTTATCTAGTTTTTAAAATTAAATTTATAATAAATTTTAAAACTATTTTAAATCACTTTTAGAAATAGAAAAAGAAAGATTTAATAATTCTACTCTTTAAAGATTTAAGTACTTTCCTATACTCTTTTACAATTTTTACTCCCATCTTTGCTTTTATTAGGTCTTTGCTAGAAGAGGTAAAATAGATTAGATCATATGATGATGATCTATCTCAAAGTCGTTCTATAATTAAACTATAAGATTTAAATTTTTAGATTTTGATGATATGGATTGTGGACCTCAACCAATTGTGGACCTATTTAGTCTTAGCTCACAAAAAAAGCTCGAATAAACAAATTATTCATCGAGCTCAAGTCTTACTAATAAGTTGAATTAAGTATGAGATTTTTCACTAGAAACACCATTGCTTACAACAAGTGTGTATTCTTGACATTTTATAAATTTTAGACGAAATGATAAATATAGAGTTTTATATATAAATACTTATAACATTATATATATATATATATATATATATATATGATTTAATTATGGTCCTTAAATATTTTTGGAAAATTTTAATTAAAATTTTAAATTAAAAAAGTTTTAATCGAATCTTTTATCTTTTTATATTTTTATAATTTATCTCAAAGGTTAGATATCCGTTTATTATCCTTGAAATTTGATAGAATATTATTTATATCATCCTACTTGAATTATTATATTATATTTCTATTTCTTGTCATCATCTTATATTAGGTTTTAATTTTTACATACTAATTTTTTTTTATTTTAGAATATTTATGATTAAGGAGATTACAATAACTTTTTCAGATAAATTAAAATATGTTACATATGGTTGATGATATATAAGTCACACTGTTAACTATGTATGGTTTACATTTTTAGAGGAAACATTCAAAATGAAAGGAAAACAAAATGAAATGAAACCAAGAATGAAGGGGATGTATATAATGAAAAGTATAATGGAGGAAGTGAGAGAGGATATACCGTAATGGAGAATAGATTATGCACCAATGTGTAGTTGGTTTAACAAAAAGAGAGGAAGCAAGAAAGACAAAATTGTGAGAGTAGGAATAATGAGTGCAGTTACTTAAAAATATTATTTGGTGAGAAATAAATGATTTTAAAAATATAGAGATGACAGTTACTTGTATTAAGATGGTGGTTATTAAGGGTAAAAAAGTCATACCAAAAGTGGAGACCAAATGGTAGTTATGAATATTTGTATCCCTTTTATATAATATTATATGTTATATATATATATATATATATTAAAAAAGTTGGACCCCTCTTGTATACATGAGTTGTGGGGAACTACACCGCTAAACAACCTAAGAACTGGCGCTGCTAACAACTCACTTAAGCACACAATTGGTCCATCTCAAATCTTCTTAATCAAATGTTAAGGGATTTGATCTTTAAATTTTGCACACAAAATAAATATGAGAATTTTAAAAATAATATATTTATAATTAAAATGTATTTATTTATTTTAAATTTTAGTTATATATAGAAAAGAAGAAAAGAAAAAAGCCAGTGGAGAAGTGGATATTTGGGATGACGTCAGTGTGAATGGTGTGTGGTTTCAGCCGAAGAATTTCATGACCACACACCATCCATCTTTCTTCTGTAGTGTACAGCAGTTGGCCTCCGATTATATGATAGCCTCAATTTATTCTAATATATATATGTATTTATATTAATTTATTGTGGTTAAATTAAAGATTGAATATTAAGGACACAAAAAGTCAACAGATTATAGAATATTGTATACTCATTGTCATATATTATAAGAATGTTATTTTTATATGAAAATATAAATATTTAATTTTAATTTTTAAATTAAAATAAATAGGTTAAATTCAAAGATTACATATTAACTAAATTATATATTGTATTATATTATTATTGTAGTTATTTTTATTATTGTTGTCTTTATTATCATTATTATAACTATTGTCATCACAATCATCTTTGTCATTATTTCTATTACAATATTACTGTCATTATTATCATCATCAATATTATTATTATTTTCATTGCTACAACATCATGGTACCATCATTATTATTTCATTGTTACTATTTACTTAATTAATTATTTTTTAGTTCGAGTAAATTAACAATATAACTATGATTATGTTAAAAGATATATGTGATATAACTTGTTAAAGTACTCTATTTTAAAGATATATATATATATATATATAATTAATATATAAAATTAATATTTTTAATAGTTTATCATACTCAAAATATTTTAATTCCTTTTATTAAATTCTAGTATGAAAGAGATAATTTGTATCTTTATAATTGTTTTAAAAAAATAATAAAAAATAGGAATATAAATAATAGGTGTTACAATATGTAAATCAAATGAGATAATGTATAATTAGAAAAGTTTAAAATAATCTTCAACGAAAATAGAGATAAAAAATAATTATAAAATAAATGGATAGTTATATATTATTAATAGAATGGACAATTAATTTTTTGTATACATATTTTTTTTTCCTTATTATACCCTTGAGACTTGAGAGGTATGATGGTGAAAAAAAATATTGAGAGATATGATGGTGAAAAAAGAATAATATTAAAGTAGCGGATAATTATTTAAGAGAATATAATTTTTTTTTATATTCAAGGGGTACAATGGTCCACTAAAAAGTGGAGATCAAAATGGTGGTTAATTACCGAAATATATCATCTTTATAATAAGTATAGATTATAGATTGTATACATATATTTTTCCTATTTTATCATTGAAAGATATGATGATGAAAAAAGAATTAATATATAATGAAAAATCATAAATGTCTAAAAAGAAAAGTGAAAATCAAAGGAATTATCCCGTATAAATAAAAAAAAAAATCGTATCATATTTTATCAAATATTAAACCATTTTCCGTATCAAACGCAAGGGAACACCCTTTTTACGTAATAAAATTGACTCATTTAATCTTTCCTAAATTGGAATATGATATTTAAATCATAGAGAATATTTTTGTTATTTTGACAATTTTTTTGTTTTCTTTTTTTTGTTTTCTTTTCATATCTTTTGTAAAACGAAAAAAAAAAAAAGTGCATGTATTTTATTTAATTAAATAATTGTCCTTATGTTAGCTGATGATAGGACGTTTGATTCCCTAGAGAACGGCTATGTTATTTTGACCTTTTGTTTTTGTTATTTTTCTTTTCTTATCTTTTCTAAAAAAAATATAGAATATTGTGTATGTTATTTAATTAAATAATATCTCCAAAATGAAAAATGCCAAACCAACGAAGTGATTGATTTGTATTGGATTGGATGATAGCTAGGATAAGAAATATCCGTTCATCTTCTTATTTTGTATGTCTTTCAAGATTGGATGAAAAAATCTTCCATATATCAAAATCCATATTTCAAAATTATGTTTGTATTGAAAGAAAAGAAATAGGTGAAAAATAAAATGAAAAAAAAAGTAAATAAAAATAGGTAAAATAATAGAGTATAAATTTGATTGTTTAATTAAAAAGAAATAAGTAAAAAATATATGAGAAATAAAATATATACAAAAAAGATGAAAGAAAAATAAATATAAACAAATAAGAAGATGAAGTCCACCACTTTTTAATTTCTCACCCTTTTATTTATCTTCAATCAAACAATTTTAGTCTATTCTCTTATTTTCACTCTCTTCACTTTATTTGTTATCCATTTCTTCTTAACCGATCAATGCATGGGGTGGTGGAGTGCACTTTTCCTCCATAGTATTCATCTATTTAACTCTCTCTCTAGCTCACTGTATATGTATATTTTACTCTTTTAAGAAAGAAAAACATGAATTCAATTCGTTATTTCTGGCACATTTTGTCTACTGAAATTATGCATAACTTATTATTTTTGACTTTAGTAGTATTTTGAAGTTGATAAAAAAGTCATATTGTAAACTTGGTTTACGACTAAGATGGACAATGTTTAGTGCCTTTTTCTTATGGGTGCTGTAATCTTGTAGCTTGTGTTTATTTATCTTTATCCTATGGTGACGTAAGACTTCTATAATCGGATTTGAGTACTTTCTACTCTGTTCTTTTAATAAATTTTTCTTATAAAAAAAATGACCGATAACACATACGACACATCGCTAAACCTATTGATATCTGTGACTTACCTCCAATTTTTTATCAGCATGTTCTCCCATGTTATGCTTTATCAACCTGTATATAAAAGGGTAGGTTGTATCTTTCTAATTCTAACATAAAAATTGTTGCAACCTTATAGGTCACAATTATGTCACCACTTGTGTTAGTTCTGTGCCTTACTCTTCCTGTGTTCTTGTTATTCTTCTTTCGATACCCTAGAACCTTGAAGAACAAGAACCAACTCCATCCACCTGGTCCTAGAGGCCTTCCCATATTAGGGAATCTCCATCAATTAGACAACTCTAATTTTCATGTGCAGCTATGGCAACTCTCAAAGAAGTATGGGCCATTATTTTCCCTTCAACTAGGTTTAAGGCCAGCCATAGTTATTTCCTCACCTAAAGTGGCCAAAGAGGCACTTAAAAACCATGACGTTGAGTTTAGTGGACGACCAAAATTGCATGGCCAACAGAGACTCTCCTACAACGGAATAGACATGTCATTTTCCCCATACGGCACTTATTGGAGAGAAATCAGAAAACTCTGTGTTGTCCATGTCCTTAGCTCTAGACGTGTCTCAAGCTTTTCACCAATAAGACACTTTGAGGTCAAGCACATGATAAACAAGATATCTGGGCATGCCTCATCTTCAACTGTTACGAATTTGAATGAAGTATTGATATCCCTTACTAGTGCAATTATATGCAGAACTGCATTTGGGAGAAGGTACTGAATGGTTGTTTTGCATTTGCATTTTGTTGTAGTTTGTAGAGAGATATTTTTTAAGAAGAGTATGATATTTTGTTGTGTACATGATATTCACGTACGTTTTTACATTAATATGATATTGTTGGATAAATTTCCTTTTGATTATCACTCAATTAAAAAACTTTATACCAATGAAGACTTCATGTATGATTATAAATTTACATCAATGTGAGACTATATTAAAACTTTATACCAATGAAGACTTCATTTCATGTATGATTATAAATTTACAGCAATGTGAGACTATACAACAGGTACGAAGATGAAGGAAATGAAAGGAGTAGGTTCCATGGGCTTCTCAATGAGTGTGAGGCCATGATGGGTGTCTTGTTTGTTTCAGATTATATCCCGTTTTTGGGTTGGGTTGATAAACTCACGGGGTTGCGTACTCGTCTTGAGAAAAGTTTCAAGGAGTTGGATGAGTTTTCCCAAGAGGTCATCGAGGAACACATGGATCCAAATAGAAAATCTTCAGAGGAAGAGGATATAATTGATGTCTTACTTCAACTAAAGAAGCAGCGTTCGTTTTCCACAGATCTCACTATTGATAACATCAAAGCTGTGTTCATGGTTTGAAACTCTTTTATATTCTCTTTATCATTTAATTTATCAATGTCTAGCAAAATGATTGTTTTTAATATTTCTTACTCGTACCATTTTAATTGTTTTATAGTTAATTTGTGACAAACAAAATAAAAAAGTGTTTCTAACGATTCACCATAAAAGAGTTTTTGTTTAAATTAAACCTTGATTACTAGTCATAATTCCTTACAGGACTTGCTTATAGCAGCAACGGATACTACTGCATCAACAGCAGTTTGGGTTATGACAGAACTAGTAAAACACCCAAGAGTAATGAAGAAAGTTCAAGAAGAAATTAGAAACTGGGAAGATAAGAAAGATTTCATCGATGAAGATGAGACTCAGAATTTTCCATATTTTAAGGCAGTGATAAAAGAAACACTGAGACTACATCCACCATTGGCACTCCTTGTACCAAAAGAGACAAATAAAAGATGCATCATAGAAGGTTATGAAATTGCAGCCAAAACATTAGTATATGTGAATGCTTGGGCTATACATAGAGATCCTGACACTTGGAAAGAACCAGAAGAGTTTTTACCTGAGAGGTTCTTAGACAGTACCATAGATTTTCGAGGTCAAGATTTTGAGTTAATTCCATTTGGTGCTGGTCGTAGAAGTTGTCCAGGTATACTTATGGCAATCGCCTCATTGGATCTTATACTCGCAAATCTTCTTTATTTCTTTGATTGGGAATTGCCACCTGGGATAAAAAAAGAAGACATTGATACTGAAGTCTTGCCAGGACTTGTGCAGTATAAGAAGAATCCTCTTTGTGTTTTGGCCAAATGTCACATGTAAAAGCCCCATAAAGTTGTATGGTAATTAATAATGGTTGGGTGGTGCCTAATAGCTTAATTCCTACAAAATTATAGTTGACTGTAAAATTAATTATCATGATCACCTATCATTACTATTAATTGTCTGTACTAATACTATTATGTTACTATCATTATTATTATTAATATCATTGATGCTGGTTGAAGTGGTGTTGTTGATGTGACAACAATAATAATGTGGTACTAGTAATTATAATAATATAAATGATGACGATAATAACGATAATAATAAGAATAATAATAATAATAGTGCATGATAACTTTATTTATAATATTATAATATAAGTAGTTTATTTTAATCTAAAAATTGGTATTAATTTTTCTGATATGAGAATGGATTTGGATCTTCACCCCCAAGAGTGCCTTCAGCTTCTCTCCAACAAAATATTATAGATTGTTGGATACATCTAAATGGTTGAGATTAAATTTTATTAAAAAAAACAAAAGTAAATTGCTTCTCTATACTTGATTCTATAAGTCTGTTTCTAAATCGGTTTTTTAAACAACTAATTTAGAAGGGTAATCAAAGAGAACCTTTCTCCCTCATGACCAATTTTGTTTCACGTATCTCCTCTATTTTTCTCACATGTGATTTTCGATCACCATTCCCTCTTCCCAATCCATTATGTCTTCTCTGTTTGCTATTGATGCCACTCGCCTTCGTCGCCATGCCCAACTTGCATTCCTTCACATTTGTTGCCATTCTCATTCTCCTATGTCTTCCGCCATTGTGTTCCTCGTCGTTGGTCTTGTTGGTCCCGTTCTCCATGTCTTCTCCATTTGTTGTTGCTATATTCCCCTTTGTCTGTTGTTGTCTCTTGCATTTTTCTTCACAGAGCATGTGCTTTATTGCCATAATTTGTTTTTGTTATGTTGCCCATCAATTTTGTTGCTTCTGACTAAAACTTGGATGAAATTTGTTTATGTTTTCTGGATATGTATTGGACGTGCCACTCAGGATATATTTTTCGGATATGTAAAAATCCTAAATCCTAAACATGCCATTTTGGATTGTATTCAACGTGATGGGAAAGATTAAGGATGGTAATGGATCGAATCAACTCAAAAGTAGTTTAAAACTTGATTTGATAATTAACTCGTAGAATTTAGGGTTTAGAATTAACTTAACTTATTAAAATTTGAAAACTTGGTTATAAGTTAATAATAATAAAAAAGTAAACACTTTAGAATTTCATGGTTATAAATTAAATTTTTTATTATTTTATGAAAGTTGGGTGTTAAGTCAAAAGAGATGATCCTTTAAATTTAGAGTTTTAATGCTAACAAACAAAGTATTTTTATATATGAAAGAAATGTTAGCAAAAATGTCTTTGAAAGATATCCTTGAAAGGTTTATCAAATGAAGTATAAAACACAAATCATTTGTAAGATGATTATTAATCAGACTAATTAAACATACAATTTGTCTCACATACATTAAATATTTATCATTTATTGAGACTAATGACAAAGTTCACTTTGAATACTTCATTCCTTAACAGATCGAATCAAAAAATCATCTTGAAATTCACAAATCTATTAAAGAAAAAAATCATGCTTTCTGTGAACCAAATCCTTAAAATCATGGAGAAAAACAAATAAAGTCAATGTTATAGTTGCTCTATGCGAACATTGTTTCTTTAAGCTCTGTTTGGTACGAAAAATTGATAACTAGTCTCCTTGATCAAATAAGAGGTACTATTTGGTGAAATACATTTAATGTTCACATTAAATGTGTCAAATAACTACCTATCACTACAAGGGAAGACGATAAAGACAAACAAAGAAAAATTGTGAGTTAGACTCAAAGTGTGACAACAATCATCTTCTCCGGGCTACCATATAAAAAGTTTCAATGTATAAGAAAGATAGAGATGTGATATATATTCGTACAAAAGCATATTTTCTAAAAAATCCATTCTTTCTTGTAAACACTCATTACTCCATAATTGGTTATATAACGTCTAAGTGAGACAAATATAACATTTGTGTAACCTTCATAATCATTGTTATAAGGTTAAGCTTAGAGAGACTTATCTATAAAAGAATGCTTATTTTGAGTTTGGAGAGACTTGACTATTAAAAAATACTTGGTTGTTAAGCCTACAGGGGCTTGTTAAAAAAATACTTAAGTAGTTGCTTGAAAAAGCAAGTCAAAGAATATTAAGGATTGAGTCAGAAATGGCTTGGTAAAGGAATACTAGTATATTTGTTAAAAGATAGCGAAACTCAATCTGATTGGATTGAGAACTTGACGTAGTTTCGGTAATTGACACTACAAGAATTTCGCGGATTAGCGAGGGAATTTAACGAGGGATATAAATCCAAGCTATTTCCTCGCTAATTAGCGAGGGACTGGCGAGGAATACAGTTCCTCTCTAATCCCTCGCTAATTAGCGAGGAAATAGCTTGAATTTTTATCCCTCGCTAAATTCCCTCGCTAAATAGGATCATTTTGCGACCAACCTTCATCTCCTCGCAAATCCGTCGCTAAAGCTAGTGCTTATTTAGCGAGGAACTTACGCCCTCGCAAATCCCTCGCCAAATTATGAGCCAAAATATAAAAACGAATTTTTCATTTAGCGAGGGAGTTTTCTTGTCGCAAATCCCTCGCTAATGAGTTATAAGTATAACCCTCGCAAATCTGTCGCAAATTAGTGAGAGAAAATGTTTTTCTCTAATCCCTCGCAAATAAGAGATTTCTTTGCTAGTATAATTTGAAATTCAAGTATTTGTAAATTTTTTTGAAATAGTATAATTTCAAATTCTCCCAAAAAAGTAAGAATTTGAAATTCCTCATATTTTTTCTTTTTATTTTACTTATATATATTTTATCTTATTTGTTATCTCTTCATTTTTTTAATTATTGAATATTT